TTGCGGTTCGTTGGCGCGGTTTGATCGAAAGAGTATTTCCTCGGCACACAAGAGAAAAGTTCTTCCAGGAAGATAAACTGCTCTTCCCCCTTAGCGTTCTTCGCTAGGAACTTAGTTGGGCGCGGAAACTTCTGTGAAAGATTCACAAAAGATTTTTTTTTCCTCTGGATGTTGGAATATAATTCAGAGAAGAGCGGGTAAAGTTTTCTCGGTGGAAATTTGAAGCGTACGTGTACAAGGTGCAGCAGCAATTTTCAAGGAATTATTCGGAAGATTAATTATTGCTCGCGAGTTTCCGGCGTTTTCAAGTTGAAAGTAACGAAAACCGAAATTAACCTGAATGCTGGATATTACACAAAAATGGAATATCAAATGCAACTGCGCGATTTCTCATTCGTTATCATTCAGATTTGATTCACTTTCATTTTCGCGTTTCACTATATTCGATATTGTATTAGCTTAACGGGCTTCAATCGTTTCTCGTTTCTTTTTCCTTCTCGCAATTTCTTTCAACCACCGGCTCTCCCAGAAGACAGAATTAAGATATGAATTATATTGTCTTTGAATAGACAACATAAGTAGTGCGGATGAAACAATTTCATGCAAATGTTTTCTCGATGATGAAATGTTTCCGATCGGTTCATTCTGCTGGAAAATTGGGTCGTTGGATGCTGCTATGATCGACACTGTATCGGCTCTGATAATTAAAAATCCCGCTGCCAAATTCGACGGAAAATAATTAGTCTGTGCAAAGTGTTATCGCGCGAGCAAATCTTTTGTCATCTCAATCCCTTGCGAAAAGTAGGTCGAACTTTCGCGGACTTTCGCTTCTTTTCTTTTCCACCATCTCTCTTTCTCTCTCTACGCTGCATCGTTGCGCTACCGGTGGATCGATTCTGGAATTATTAGGTAATTACCGCGGTGCGCCGGCAATAATTTCAGAATCGATTAGAGGAGAGGAAGGGGTCGAGTCGTCTTCCATCGGATCGTTCGTCTAACTTCAATTTCGCACGACAACTTGTTTTTAAATCATTAACATCTGATTAAATCCGAGAAATTAAAACCAAATTAATCGAAGATGATAGTTATGATATCACTTATATAATTATATAATTTAGCTTATATGCATTACATTTTGTAGAGTCGTGAAACGTATCATGGTAAAGTATTATAAATTATAAATTATAATACAATCAATTATAAAACTAAAAGAATAATACTCATGTAAGTTGAAAGTTCAAATACATAACTAAATTGAAGTTCTCAAAATCTTGTTTGTACTCTGTTTATACTCTGTTTTATATATCTATTTTATATATTACACGATTTGTTCATGTTTCCAGTAAAAGATCTATCTCTGGAAGATGCGCAGGTTTCGGTTCGGGGCAGTTTCAAATCGATCATTAACGAAATTCAATTCGAATTACCTTAAAAAACGGTATGGAAATTAGGAAGGAAATGAAAAGGGGATGAAATTTTTCAGAGAATCGACGCATCGGCCCATTACCGCGAGGATGACCCAATACGAGACGTGTTTGCAGCCATACTTTTCTTAACATCTCCATCCTGAATTGTGTTATCGAAGAGAAAATACCATCCTGCGAGATCAGAGCACGAAGCATAGATCGACGAACGGGGTGGAGGCGTGACAAAAATAAAGAAAATGGGAGTGCCAGATGTAGAGCAGGCTAAGAGACGACTGCAGGATATTCTTAGGAAAGCACAGAAGCTCGAGATCCCTGCGCAAGAAGTGATCTCGACGCGGACCGCCCAGAAGCTTCTTGCCAGAACGAGGAACGTCCTGGCATGGACGATTTGGATCACCGTTTTTGTTCTTCTGCTCAGTGGTGTGGTCTATGTCCGTTGGCCGACGAAACAAGAAGTCGAGACCATTAGGACTGTCCTTAGGCGAACGGTGAGCCACGAAAATTATTTTTCTCATCCTTACTGCAGGAATTTATTTATTTATATAAATCATAATATCTTTAATTATGTACGAGATCTTTGCTATCGTGGGATTATCGAAGCTTGATAATCGTTAACCGCGATAGTAGAGCAATTATGAAACGTGCGCCTCGATGGTTCGAGTTCCACTTGAATCGAAGCTTTCCAATACAGAAGTAGCTTGTAGGAAAGTTACATGTATTTTAAGCAATTGATCTGGCAGAAATTAACGAGATACGGTGACACGCTTTAAAATAAAACGATCGCCTCGACGAATGTAATCGTTGATATTTTTAGAAACAATAAAAAAAGCTTTCCCGCTAATCGACTTGAAACTGTACTCGTAATATCATTGGCTAATCAATTGAAAAAAATATTGCGAATGATGACCGCGTAAGGATCGATTGGTTTTTATTTCTGAATTAATGCTGGTTCAATAAGACCAGTATCGAAGTCAATTACTGTTGTTTTTTTATTTTTTTATTTACTAATTAGAACTTTCCATGAATCAACTTGCGAATCGCCTAAAATCCCTTTCGATCTCCTCTAATATTACACTGTGTTTTACTTTAATTTACGTTGCGATCAGTCATTATTTACAATTAGATTGTGTCTAATAATATAATCTTTGCACATATTAATTTACTTTACGATGGCCTAGTTGATCTGTCGAATGTTTATAAAGTTTTTTTTATAAATAAAATAATACAATAAAAATATATCGTGTATATTAATATTTTTATAAATACTTCACAGAATTAAAGAATTAGCAAGTTATAACGGAAATTTTCAATCCTTGAGCTCTTACAACTTCGTGTAGAAGAATCATACGTTTTCTCTGTACTCATATTAAAGCGTGAAGCTACTTTCAGGATTTATAGTTAATTTTTTCCCATAACATGGTTTATACATCATACTTTAGATAGAAAACTGAACATATTTCAGACGTTTCTCCGGGCATCGTGCAATTTTTTTTCACGGCAAAATTCACTATTTAGAAATTCAAAACTTATAATGATCCCTTCTAACGATCTCGTACGATTCTTTTTCGTTATTTCATTCATTTTCTTTAAATTGAAAGTATGCTGCTGGCATTGGAATAATTCTTGATATACGTCTACAGAGTTACACAGTTTGGTATTTCACGTATACATGTTTAGTGTTTAATATGACTGTTTAATGTGTGTATGTATGTATTTAGCATATAATTCGTTTTAAAGCATGCATCACGCGCACAAGTGTGCGCAAACGACTACAAAACATATACACATATTCTAAATACTAAACACATACGCTGAATACATACATATCAAGTATACACACTACGGACAAATTTTACCGTGCAATCTCCTTATACTATACTTTAAGTTATTCCAATATCGCGGTGCATTTTTCATTTAGAATGCAATCACGACATTGAAAAGATCTTTGAAACTTCTGAAAAGTCAAAAGAAATTGTCAATTTGTAACGTCATTTTGAGATGAATGTGAAAAAAAGAATTTTGAACTCCATGCTGTTTGATTTTGTAAAGTTTCGGATGAGAGAAAAAGGCAACATCAGTTTCTCACTTCAGTTTGTTTTATAACGAAAAACAGTTTTTTGAAAGAATTAAATTCAAAATAGATTAGTTGTATCAGCATATACATGAATTTGATGGCTTCATTTAGAATATGCACGTGTGAACGCGGCGAACAAGCATTCATCGTGTTATTAAATGAACTTCAAATTTCGTCAGTTGTACTAGCTCCGAAATTAAAACGGAACGAGTCCAGGGAATAATAAGCGCGCTTGGCGTCCGTCCAAAAGCACAAAACAGCCAAGCTCGTTTTTCTCGCGACACCTTATACGCACGGATTATTTCGTCATGTTCGTTATCTAGTGGCGTGGAGGATTTGTAATTCCATGCCGGAATACGGTACTTAATAGCGTAACGACGAATAATCCTTGTATAACGTGGCTTATGCGTCAACATCATTGACAGACAACACTATTGATAGAATTATTACTGAAATGCACCCCTCCTATTCAACCTTTCCTATACTAACGTCCTATTTTCACAGATTTACCGATCTTTTTCAACTTTTTTCACTCTAATTTGCATTAAAGTGTCGAAGAGAGAAGGTTTTCGTTTTATCAGAAAATGTTTTTATTTCATCGAACAATATTTCGGTTTTTCTAACAACATCGACATTTTTTAAGTTATTTGTGACAATTATCTACGTCTATTCAATAAAATAAAATAAAATATAATAATTAAAAAATTATAAAAAGTATTGGCACGTATCTCTATTTTCCAATGAAGTTCTTTTTTATCCGGTAAACAAGTAGTATTTTAAAAAATAATTAATAGTTTTAAAATCTATTAATGTAAATTTTATATTTCGACTATGATAAATAAAAAGTGTAAGTTAATGAAAGCGTTAAAACTTAATCAAAATCAAATATTTGACAAAGTTCTGCAATATTTTCTAATTGCAGAAATATCTTGCATTAACTTGTATAGAAATGTAATTTTTTCAAACAGCGTTCATATTTAACACGCAATTACACATAATGTATTGGAGAGCGAAGTTCGATTTCTTTTTTTTTTTTTTTTTTTTTTTAATCATCAATAGTAAAAGAAAACCTAATCTTGTTTCTGAGATCCGATTACTTGTATTCATAACATCTGTTAGAGTATGGAACGAACCTCTCCTTCGAATGGAAATCTCGTTGCGTTCTCGATTGACGCAGTGCTTCTGTATTTTTGCCGGAGGAAACGACATGAAACGAGATTTTTTTTTATCGGTGACATGGAAAGTGATTTCGACGGATTAACCGAATAGAAGTGAAGATGGAGCAACAGTAGCTGACAGGAGACGAACGCGTACATCCATAAAAAACAATTTGCTTTGTCGATTTGTTTGAAAGTGTTCTGTAACGCAGTTACGGTTCCAATTTATTCGACATCGCTGTGGATTATTAAACGCCTGGAGCGTTGGGCGACGAAAAACGTTTCGCGTTGTCACAGTAGTTCACGATAGGATCGAATAGAATGGAATCCTTCGCTTTTCGCGAATTTCATTTCATTTACTTTTAATCAAACAAGTGTGTAACGTAATCATGGTGCTGCTATCTTCATCGCGTGCTGCTGTCGTCATCACGTGGCTAATATTCGCGGAATCTTTTTAATCTCAAAATTAAAATTCATTAAATTAGTAATACGTAAGTATATGTAACATGCTTCAATATAAAGTAACAAAAGCTTTAAAACTTTGCTCGAAAATACCAAAGTTGGCTAAATGAGCAAAGTGAAATTCTTTGGGAGGTGAAAGAACGAGTTGCGAGGTAAAAACGACTGTGAACTATCTTTGTGGAAAAGCGATTGCTACGATGCTTCAAATATTATAGTAGCGCAGAAATACACGCTACTTCTATTAGATTACCACCTTGATTGAAATTAGCCACGAAATTTTTCCTTGTGACTTTAACTTCGGTGAAATGTTTTCAAACGCGCGTAAAATTGTACGTTTGGTTCGTGCGAATTAGACATAACATAGGTGCAAGGAAAATTTCCCTGACTGACGGAAGGAAGGATGCGGGTGATATGGTAGGATATTTTGCATTCGGTCGAACTGAAAATTTACGCGGAGCGAACATTATTCGTAAATTTGGCCCGAGACGGGCGTTACTTCAAAAGTAGCTAACGAACCGGCTTTCGACTTACGAACGCTGTGGTTGGCTGCATGGTAATTGCGTTAACTTACTTAATTAGGATCCTGCTCGCTAATCAACTCGAAATCTCTTTTGAAAGGTTGTTCAGTTCCTGCCCTATAGCTTCCCGCATTACACCTTTATTTTCGGCGAACCTTTGAAAAGTTAATTTACCACGGTGTCATTTATCAGCCTCTTGTTCTCGCTATTCTCTGTGTTATTATATTAAATCGATGTATACGTTGAAATAATTTAAACGAATACCACCGGCTTTAGATACTGCTTATTAATACATTTTCTTTTACGATTTATGACTCATTGTTATCGTTCTATTAAATTTAACACTGCGTCTCTGAAAATTTTTTCCACATTTATCTCGAAATACTTTTATCTGTTGGTTTCTTCTGATTCGCAACAATCGCGATCGAATATTTATCTGGAAATTGAGAGATTGGTAACCTGAAAGCGACGTTCCCTGGGGATGATATCTCGAGAGAAAATTTATGTTTTCAGTTGGAGAATAATAATGTTAT